TAATTCCTCACGATTCAACTTGTCCAACATCTGTGGAAGCATTCAAAGCACGTGGATCGTACCTTGTAAAGTTTACTACGCCATTGGTCAAAGATATACCAGTTCTTCGACCCGCGATATTATGAATCGTGTTCGTTCTGAAGTGGGAGCTGAGACGTCATATATGGCTGCTTGGAGAAGTAAAGTCATTACTAAAAACCTGGTGTGGAGGAAATAAATCAGAGCTATCAACGTATTAAGTCATTACTCGACAATTTGCTTATTAAGTATTCTAACAAGAAATAAACTTTTGGTGATTAATATATAAAAAAAAATATTTCCATATATATAATCTGTTTAATAACCCATGGTACCCACTGTATTGATATATATTGATTTACTTTACCAAGAATTTTTTTGCATCTCTTGCAGTACAAATAACACCTTTAATCGATTGACATCTGTACTGCAAGAGATCCTACGAGTATACTCGATCTGAATCTTCTCATTGGTTATAAAATCTAGTCACTAAATGGAAGATACGCTATAAGGCATTAAATTTTATTATTATTATTTCTATAAATTTAGTCTCACGAATAATAAATAATTCCTAAATCCACGTTATTAATAAAATGATCATTTACAAAATTCAACCCCTTAAAAACTAGTTTAACAATCAGTTTAATATCCAGGCAATTAGTTATGACGCTGAACATAAATAATCTAATTTTACATAACATGATATTCTTCAGCCGATAAAATCTTTTCTTTAGAAAAAGTCACAGAAGCCCCTGATTCAGTATGGAGTACATCCAACACCTAAATAATTACAAAATAAATAAATAAATCAAAAATTCAATTACATAAAATACTTAAAATTAACTTACATCTATGTCACAAACCAATTTTTCACTTATAAAGGAAACCCCAACAGGGAAAAACACATTAACATCATCGCCCGCAATATTGAACTCAAGCGACCCTTGTTTGTTAGATGCGTCGATAATAGGCAATTGCCACTCTAGGGTTCTAGTTTGTCTATTTACTTCATAATGGCCATCAACATCACCAACAACAGGATTTCCAACAGGACTTTAGTGCATGATAAATAGATATATGTATT